AAAAACCTTATGATATACTAATCGTTCAAGATCTACGTTCCTGGTTTTAGTGCGACAGCGTCGCACAGCTACCTTATACTATATACACTGTATGTACTGTACGTACTGTACGTACTGTACGCGAAAAAAATTGGGCTATCATATAAACGGCACATCACTAGGCAAAACCCTGGTAAAGCTAAAACCCTGGAGAAAGTCAAATACAGCTAAGATCAAATCCTCTAAGGCTTTAGAAAGACTGAGCCATGTTAGTAAATTAAAATATTTTGTGTATGGTATTAATAGAGATGGGAAAAATGCGCATTTTTCGGAAAACTGCGCATGAATGCGCATGCGTGCGCACTTTTCGCTGGACAAAATTCACTCTAATTTCAAATTGTTATTCAATTATTTATATACATTACAAAGAATATATATTTGGATTTTTAGACTTAAGACATAATAAGGATTCAGCACAAAAGCCATTTCATAGTTCCAGCCCACATTACGTTGGTCATAGACCAAAATTTTCTTAATGCCGGCTGAATTAATAGTTAAATAGAGATTGGGGAAATGCGTATTTTTTGCTAAACTAAATTCAATCTAATTTCAAATTATTCTATTACTTACATTATAGAGAATAACATACTTGCTCTTTAGACTTAAGACATAATAAGAATTGAGTATAAAAGTTATCTATAGTTGTGGTTCAAATTATATTGATCATGGGCCAAAATTGGAGTTTAAAAAATACACATTTTTTTGCTAGGCTATAATCGATTTAATTTCAAATTGCAAAGAATTATATGTGTGATTTTTAGATTTAATATATAATAAATTAGTAGTTAATTTCAATTATTATAAACAATACTAACTTTTACATCTGGAAGCCATCTGCGATTAAAGTATAAACTTGTATTTTATTTATTTAAATAATATATATAGTTATAAAATGATAGATATATTATAATCTATAAATCTTAAAATGTTATTTTTCTAGTATCTTGTAATATAATGGGTTAATAAATAAATAAATACCTAGTGGCTCTTGATATTGCAGAGACCGTAGTTATAGTTTTTGCTTCATTATTAAAAAGTTTCTTCTCTATAATAGCAAAAAAAATTTCATGATAGATTAGTTATTATAGTAAATCATAATTTGGTTCTATTATAATTCTTAATAGCAATACCTGTTATATTGATAGTTCATTATATTGAGATCCACTATGCAAAAAAAAAAAAAAAAAAAATGTTTTTATATATTTAATTTTTAGTTAGATTTTTTGTTAAAAAAATCTTCATAAATTCGTCAGCTTCTGAAATTTCATCCATAAAACTATCTTCATTGTTAGTTCCAAATCTTTCTTCTTCAAAATCCTTTATATTACTTTCTTCAAAATATTCAGCATTATTTTTTTCAAATTCTTCATTATTGCATCTTTCAAAATCTTCTTTATTTTCAAAATATTTAGTAAAATTATTCCTTATTTCTTGTAATTCAGAATTTAACTCATCTAAATTAATATAATTTTATTTTAGAAAATAATAATTTTTAGTCAATTACAGATAATTGCTATATAGTAAAATCAAACGTTTATTAAGTAAGTTAATTATTAGTATTTAAATAAAGTTATTTAAAAGATCAAAATATGCATATTTTAAAAGTTTTACCAAATTAAAGAATATTTATTAATATATTTTTATATTTTATATAAATAATATAAATTGCCTTTTTAATAATAATAAAATACAAAAATATACTAATAAAAAATTCTTTAATTTGGACAAACGATTCAAAATATATATAATTTTATTTTTTAAATAACTCTATTTAAGCACAAATAATTATTGTAATTTGTAAAATTATGTGAAATTTCAAGAATATTAACAAATAACAATAATTTATTTAGCAAACTTCTAACTTTATTATATAGCAATTACTTATAATTATAGAAATAGATTGTTTTTAGAATAAAATATTTTTTATAAAATTATCTTCATTTTCTGAATTATCTATTAAAATACTATCCAAACTAATATCTAAATCATTATTCAAATTTTTATTACAGTTATTATCAAAATTATCATCAAAATCATTCTCAAAATTACTATCAGTGTTGTTATCAGAATTGTTATCTAAATCATTTTCAATATCACTATCAGAGTTGTTATTAGAACTGTTATCAAAATTACTATTAAAGCTTTCATCACTATCTTCAGAATTATCTATTTCAAATAAATCTTCAAATCTATTATTTAAATTATCTGATTCTTCTTCTAAATTATTACTATCGTCATCATTTAAGTCATCCTCATATTCAATTATATGAGCTATATTTCTATTATCTATATCTTTACATTTATAAATTTTATTTGCTATATGTGGTAATTGTAATCGATAATTGCTGTAGATATAAACTAATTTAAAAACTTTTTTTGAACTAAGTCTATTTCTTTTTTTATTATGAATAAAAGAAAAATTAGACCAATTTCTTTCTAATGCAGCTGATGATGTTGAAATTGGTAATATTCTGCATGCTAATTTTGTTAACTCAGGTGCGGCTTCTTGAAAATTTCCTGTCCACCATGTAATAGGATTAACTTGATTTATAGAATCCCAAGCTAATTTGTTATTAAATAGGTCACTTTTAGTTTTGTATTTAAGAATTTGTTGCCAAATAATTTGTGAATTGTTATTATACTATTTAATAAGAAAATTAGAAATAGTTGTCATATAATTATTAGATAATCCACATTCCATAACTTGAGGATTAAGAAAATTAGCTACTTCCATAACTGGGTGATATAGTTTAGTCCATCTATTTTCTAAAATTTTTTTAATATCAGTTCCTATTTAATTAAAATTAAAATTTTAAATTTTTATAAATTAATATTTCTAAATTAACTAATAATACTAATAGTACAATTGTATTATTTTAAAACAACTTATTAATTTATATTATATACTAAGTAAAATATTCAGTATTCTCAAAATATTGTTTTAACTTTAATTTTTATACAGTACGATATAGCAAAAACTTGGTTCTATTAATTTTACTACAAATCACTCTAATAACAATTTAGTTTATAGACAATTAATTTCCAGACAAGTTATTTTATTAGCAATTAATTTAAAAACAAGTTTATTTTACTAACAGTTTATTTATTAATAGCTCTTTTTACTGTAAAGTAATTCTAATTATTGTTATTTGATTTAAATTCAAAATTAGAGTTAAGGTTAGTACAATTTATAAAAAACTTGCCAGTAAAATAAGCTGTTAGTAAATAAAACTATCAGTAATATAAACTTGCTAGTAAATTAATTGTTAATAAAATAAGCTTGTCTGTATATTAACTGATAATAAACTATTTAGTACTATATATATAAACTATTAAAAATAGATTTCTGAATATAATTTAGTATAACTATAAATTAATATTACTTACTATTTTTATTTAAATTAAGACAATTTGGATACCATTCATAAAAATATAATAATTTTGGATCATTGCTTTCAAATATACTAATTTCAATTATTATTTCTTTTAATATTTCAATTAATTTTATAAGACTATTTCAATAAGTTTTACTATTTACAGTTTTTATTATAGCTTTATCAATTTTAGCTTGACTAGCTATCAATTCTGTAATAGTAAGACTAATAGAAATATGATTAACTTTTACTGATTCTAAGCAAATAAAAAATGATTCCCATCATGTTTTTGCAGGTAATTTTAGTGAAACTTTTAAACTTTGTGAATCTTGATGTCACTTTAAAATTGCTGCTAGAATTTGATGTGATTTAAAAAATTTAACAATTTCTTTTGTTTTTTTAAAAATTAATTTAGTCCAATTTAATTTCATTATATCATGAATAATAAGATTTAAACTATAAGCTAAGCATCCTATAAAAATAATATATGAAAATGTTTTACTTAAAATTTGCCATGATTTTCTCATTACAGAAGCATTATCTGTAATTATAGCAGAAAGTTTGGATTCATTTACTGTTAATAAAATTTGTTTAATATCAGTAGCAATATTATAAGCATTTGGTTTATATTTTTAGTAGATTTTGCAAAGACAAATACTGGTTTAGGAATTGCAAAAATAAAATTTGTCTAATGTTCGGATGAAAGATTTGACCTAAAATTTAATTAATTAATATAATAATAATATATTGAAAGTAGCTATTATTAGAATCTGTATTATTTTATCAAAAATTACTTTACTGACAACTTAGTTTACCAATAGTTAATTTACAGACAAGCTTATTTTACTAATAATTAATTTATAGACAAGTTTATTTTACTGTCAATTCATTTTACCAACAGTTATTTCACTAAACATTTTTTATAAATTGAACTAACCTTAACTTTAATTTTAAATCTAACTCGGATCTCCTTTAGTATAGGTGGGCATATATAAATTATTACAAAATTATAATATATAAAACCTAACTAATTTGAGCCAA